CTATCAGGAATATTTATTTATAGCACACAAGAAACTTTAAGATTAGGCTTAATTGGTTGGCTCAATAGCAAGTCACTGAAGTGTCTTTGTAGTCACTTATACTACAATCACTAATATTTACAATGTTAGCATGGTGGTTCTTAGAATTCTATAGGCACACATGGAAAAAAAATAGACTTTGTTAGATTGCTTTTCTCCCCACACTCTGACCTCAACATTGAGTCACTGATCATCCCATACCCAGTAATTTCAGGAACTTCAGAAAAACAGAAGTAGTTTTCAGAAGAGCACCAACTAATTGACAGTACAAGTGGTTTTGACCATGCCTTCTGACAGGAGTTACATTTTCATGGTGAACAATAAAAAGTACCACTGAGTACTGTCTGCAAAATATCTGAGACTTACGTTGATCAGAGTAACCAAGAAGGTTTTTTATTTCTGTTTATGGAAATACCAAGAAAGTGTAATACCTTTGAATGTTACAGCACCTTCTGTCTCTGTCAAATATAAAGTTTGCATGCACAAGCACCTTGATCTATGTTTTTTTCCAGGCAGCAGGACTCTGGAGTTGCACCAGTAGTACTGCTATTCTCTTCTCACATGTATTCTCTGAGAACTGTCAGTGTCAGCTCTGTCTGACATGCTGGCAGCAGGAGCAGAAATGTCAAAGTGTTGCAAATAGCAGCATTCACATCAGTACATTGCTTGAAGCAACTTAGCCAGATATTATACCAACTGTCCCATACTTTATCTGCTTATTGTAGCTGCCTCTTTGAATCTGTCTTCTGAGGATTCTTGGATGTTTTAGTAGGTGTTAACCAACCACAGCTATGAATTCTAGCATGGGCAGGTTTCAGGCATTAGTGTCATCTTTACACTAAAATTGGCAATTATGGTGATCAGCTTGGTCACATTCAGTTTAAAAAGGCTTGTGTAGTCAAGCCCTCTGGGGTGGAGCGCTCTGAAATGCAGAAGTTGTTCTGATGTCTGTTTATTTTACTGTAATAGAGAATAAAATCTTACTGTTTTGAAAACCCTTATTTGAATCCCACAAACTATAATTATGTTGCCAAGAGCTTTTTATGTGATTTTTCTTTTTTTCCAAAGGCCCTTCTCTTGCTACACATTGAGGTATGAATTATTCATTTCTAATGTGTCTGCTGGGCTGGAAGAACAATATTCTTGCTGCTAATTGTAGATTAGGTGTGGTTGGTAAACCAAAACTACATAAAGCCACCCCACTTCAGGTGGACTGAGTTACACGTACTAAATGCTGTAGAAGCATAACTAAAGCTTGTGAGTTGTTTAGGTCAAGGGTGGTTAGAGCATAACAAGCAGTGATGGCAGTTGTGACCTCTGTGCAGTGTTAGGAGATTGCAGCCTATTGAAGCAGTTGCGATAACAATTAGATTTTGTTGAATAATGTTAGTGTGGGCATATATGTGATTCTCTTGCTCTCTTTCTTACTAGAGATGAAGATTTTTGTGTGAGCTCAGTCCTAGCATCAGATGTAATACATGCAACTCGTAAAGACATCCCTTGCATATTCAGGGTAAGGCTACCAATTTACTCTTGAAGAAAATACAAGCTAATTACTAGTGTTTTGCTTTGACAGTAAAGTACATTATCCATATTTAATGTTTATTAAGTTATGCAGAAGTGTAAGAATTTTCAAGGGGTTCTGAAGTGTGTAGAGGAACAATACAGTACTCCTCTTATAACTGAATTGTAAAGAACGAAGTTGTTCTTTTGCTGCTTCCTCATCTCTAAAGTTTGGGGTTTTTTTATTTTCTTGGTTATAATTCAGTATATTCTGGTCTCCTCTTCCACTGATATTACCAGATCCTGGTTCTTTTTTCTTGGCTTTGGAGGACTCTTGCTTTAGGAACTGATGCTGTAACATAGTAGGCTGAATCTGGGTTGTGCTCACTGATTCTAGTTTTGTCATGTGTTGTCTTGTATATAAAAAAAATACATTTGAAATTTCAGTTTCCTTAATTTCATGTTGAAGTACAGTATAGAAACTATAAAATTAGAAAATAATTAGCTTAGTTACAATGTCCTCTTGAATGTATGTTGTCTCTGCTGTATTTAGTTTTAACAGGAACATCTTTCCTAGGTTTTATGTGGATTATATTTAATTTGAAATTTTAAAATATAGAGAAGAGTAGGTCAGTGACTACTATCTACAATCTCTTGCATTTAAATACAGAAACTCACTGTTTTCATAGTCTCTGAACCTTAGTGATATAGAATCAAGTCAGCGGAACATGGAAGCCAAAGAGCTGACAGTCACATGCAGTCCAAATCATTTGGTCCTTTCGGGTTTTGCTTAGGAAATGTCTCGGCTACTTAAATGCTTCCGTGGCTTTGCTTTTCTCCTTTTATGTAAAAATATTTTCTGCAGTGGGTTTACATCCTTTAGTTTACTACTAGTTTTACTTTTGGTTTCTTCTTACTTGTTTCTAAATGGGTTTTGTTTGTTGTTGTTTTTTTAATTCCCATCTGCCTGCTCTCTTCTCAAATTAGCAAACACAGAATACTGTGGGAAACAACTTCTGAGGAGAGAAAATATGCTATGCAGAATGGTGGTTGATTTGTTTAAGAATAAGGTATCCTTGCATTTTAGCCTACCTGACTTGCTGCTCTAATTTCTGCCTGCAGTTTTTAACTGAAAGGATATCTAAGAAAAAAGTCAAATATTCCCATGTAAGAATACTTGTGTGGATAGACATGACAAAATGTCTCCGCAGTTTGATCAGATCATCCCCTACTAAAGAGATCTGAAATGAATTACCTGGAAGCCTGGTGTGTGATCATATCCATTTAGATACCCTTTTGAAGGGGCCAGAGAAGATGCTGCGAAAGTCCACCTCTCTTCTCAGTTTTATGTTCTCCTTCAAAAAAGGAATTTCCAAAACTGGAAACCAGTAATACCTGATGTAAGAGAGTCTATTTTCTCCATTTCATTTAATGTAGATTTGCATCTTGCTGACATAATGACACTGAGTGGCTTCTACACAACAGCTAAAACTGTTACTTTTACATCATCTGTGTAAAAATCTGATCATTCTTTCATACGCATTGTTTCACGTAACACATGATGATATTGGTGGCCCACCAAAGACAGATTTTCATTTCTTTTTGATCTTTCACCACCAGAAAGCAATATCAGAATGCTGCCAAACACTAAAATATTGCCACCTCTAGCCCCCCATGAAATGAAGAAGAGGAAGAGCTTGTCTCCAAGTCGTATTTCTCTTTAGTAACCAGATTTTAAAGATGGATGTTAGGCCATCCAACACTGTAGTTTAAGTGCTGCCATTGATACGTGGCTGCCAAGAGTGTCTGTAGGGGAGTCCTTACACAGTTTAGCAGTTTGAGCTAAGGAGCCTTGAGTTTCATAGCAAATACTGGATTTTTGTATGATGAATAATGCTATTTCTGTTATGACCAACTTCTCCCATTTTTTTTCCACATCTGACTGCATTAAGATGCCACCTTCAAAAGACTGAGAAGTCTGGTGGTACTTCAAAAGCAAAACCATAGCTGAAGACAGGTTTGGTTTGGTTTGGTTTTCAAATTTAGAAATATTATCCGTTATGCCCTGTCTTTAAAGTATTAATGCTTAGTTACAGTTTAGACATGAACAAAGCTTGGTGCAGATTAATAACAGCTATGAGCAATTGCAGACTACTCAGTTGTTTTCCTACTGCTTTTCACTTTCATCTTACTTCTGGAGTTCTGTCTTTGACATCATACTCTGTCCCAAATATATTTTCAGATATATTTTATCTTTAAGATGAGTGTTAATTGCTTAATTCACTCTTTAAGGAAGAGTATGTTGCATAACTGTATCATCCATCTTTATGGTGATTTTCTTATCAAGGCATAAAGGCTGAAGGTGTGTTATTCCATGTTACAGCCTTCAGTTCTGCGCTTTTGCAGCTTTTGCTGCCTTTTTCTGTTTAAATATTATTATTCTAAAAATCTGTTCTGAGGGCTGATACTGGCTGGTGGCCGGCTTGTCTGTGACTGAAAGCATAGTTCCCATGATCTCACAAACCCTTCAGTCTCTTCGTAGAGGACACAAAACTTACATTAAGAACTACTCAGTCCATACTTTGGACAACAGAAAGGTTTTGGATAGTTTTTCTATTCAGAATATATTCTGCTTTGAGATCTGTAGGACAATTTACTTGAAAATTAGGTAAAGCCACAATGATTTCCTTTTAACATGGGGAAGTAGGAGAATGCACTACTTCAGTCTCAAAACATTGCTTTTCTTTAGAGCTTTCAAAGCACATATGATGCGCTCTTCCCCCTGGACAAAATACTTTGAAAACTGGCTGGGCTTAAACCACGACAAGTAGCAAAATCAAAATGTAGAACTGACCCTAGAAATGCCATTTTGTTTAAATGCATCTGGATCAGAAAGCATGTGTGTCATTTAAAATAATTTATTAAAAAATGCTGGGGGGAGGAATCAGGACAAATTATGGCATGCTGCTGCAATTCCAGTTCAGAGCAGGAGGGAGCCTTTTACCGCCATGTACTGATTATTGTAGGAGAGGAATGTAGCATACCTTGCCCATATTTTAGGATTCAGAATGATTAAGCAAGATTGGGTATTTTTAAACAAAGCTACTGTAGCTTGTGTGGGGTTTTTTGAGGCACTTTTGGTTGTATTAGCTGTGGGCTGTGTTGCATATCCCTCAGGTACATCATCACGTTGTCATGAAGAAGAGTATTTTACTTTCACACTTCTATGATGTATATAATACTGACAAAAAAGGCTTTTATTACTTTTATTAATTTTACTCTCTCTATTAAAAGGTGACAGCTTCTCTCTTAGGTTTGCCTTCAAAGTCTTGTTCTCTACTGATCCTGACGGAAAATGAGAATGAGAAGAGAAAGTGGGTTGGAATCCTAGAAGGGTTGCAGTCTATCTTGCACAAAAACAGACTGAAAAACCAGGTTGTGCATATTCCACAAGAAGCCTATGACAGTACACTGCCTCTTATTAAAGCAAGTTTAGCTGCTGCTATTGTAGGTATGTTTGTTTTAACTTTTGTCAGTGTATGAGGGTTGTTGCAACTTTTAGATGTGTTTCTGTAGTGAGAGCACTGACACTTTGAAATAAATTCCTCATCTGAATTCCTTTGTAGGAATTTAATAACAGGGGGAAATGCTAATCTTGTATTGATATTCAAATTTCTTCATCCACTCAGAGTAAATAATACTGTTCAGTTGTTTAACAGGTTGTTGTAGCAATATGATATATAGCATTCATTTGACAGACTGCACAAAGTTAAGCAAAATTGATTTGCTGTTGAAAATCTGTTTGTCCAGAAGTTTTTCCAGCTGTTCAAAGCAGAGTCTGTTTTAAAGAGAAGAGAAAGTGGAGATGAATTAATAGCTTTTTTTTTTTTTTCCTCCCTTCCTGGTTTAGATCAAGATAGAATAGCAATTGGCTCAGAAGAAGGACTGTATGTGATAGAGGTGACCCGCGATGGTAAGTTAGGCCATAATGCACGCAGTAGTTGCACAGAGAATAATGAGCTCCATCACTTCCAATGCTGTTATAATATAGGTTATACAACAGCCCTTCATGTATATTAAGTATTAAGCACTCAGTTAATTGATGAGAAGGAAAAGTGAATGTGAGATACAAGCACTTATTTCATCATTATCATTACATTCAGTTGACTGGCTGAAATTAAAGGGATGAGTTACTGAGCATATTCTGACACATTCTCACCCTAACTGTGTTCCCACAGCAGGTAACAAAATGCTTCAGCACACAGAGCACGCACAGCCTACACAGCAGCAGTTGATGCACAGTGAATTATCAGGCACTTACTAAATAGAACTTGAATTGAGTGAGAAAAACTTGACATCGAAGCAGACTAATTCCAGCCTGTACTGTCAGAGGACTTACACTGCCATGAATTAGAAGCTAGACAGCCAGTGCAAGCAACACAAGAGTTTGTAGACTTTCCATTAAAGCCACTACATATCATTGCCTGTTTCTTTCAGAAATTTGACAACCACTTGCATCCTGTTTCCTGATGGTGGCCAAAGCATATGCCTTGCTTGCCCCCCTTCCGTTATCTCTTAATCTCCCTGACCCCATGCTTCCTCCTGAACCTGCTTTTTCCTTCCTGTTGTTAATGCATTCTGCCCTCTGCTTTGGGAAAAATGGGATCAGTTTAGCCTGATCTTCCGGAGGACTTAGTATGTCCATTCCAGAAATCCACACAGAGCGTGCTCCACGTATCAAAGCAAAGTGTATGCAGCGTAGTCACTGGGCAGCACAGGCATATCCCTCTATTGTATTATTAGGCATCACAGCTAAGGACTAAGGGAAGCATTTTTCCCTTACCCTGATATACTGAGCACAAATGCAAATAACAGTGGGAGACATGCATTGGTATGGTGGGGAAAGCACGGAGGCCAGAAGGATTACTAGCACACGAGTATGGGGATATTTGGGTCAGTCCATACAAAATGCAATTTTAAGCATGGAAAAGCAAAGAACAAGTCTGGTGAATTTTGCAATCTGTTTCCAAAGTAAGATATTTTTATTTTGAACAAACAAATGAACAAAAAAAATTAATAAGCTAGTTGAGTTAAACTGAATTTGTAGAAGTTAAGTAACGTATTTCTAAGAAGCAGTGCAGATTTAAAATACCTTCATCTACTACTGTTTATCCTTTTCCAAATTACCGCAGGAAATATTTGTTGGGGATTTTCTTCTCTGAATTCAAAAGCACCAAACATACCTTGTGAAATCCATGCTTTCTTGTAACTCCCGAAGCACTCTAAATTTAGACAATATTCTAAATCCATGTTTTTTGTGGTGTAACAGGTAGCAACCTTGGCTTTCTGATAGTATTGTTTCTAACAAAATACCGAATGCTCTCTTCACATATATTTATGACCTCTAAGCTTGGGTTCTGCTGGTGTCTTAAACTGTCTGGGAGTTGAGGATGTTGACGTCAGTAATACAGATTTGTAAAACTAAAAGGTGCTATTTCCACATTTGAAAAATTACTGAGACGCTTTTGAAATATCCTTCTGATTGTTTTTAGTCATTGTCATTCCAATTTCAAGAAAGTTTGCATTGATGGAAGAATTTGAATTTCCTTTTTTCATTGCAATTTGGTTTGTTGCAATTTTGAAAGTTGGATTGCAGTCATGCTGAAAGTTGCATCTCTATGTAAGGTAAAGCATTGAATACAGGTTTTTAAGGACTTACCTGAACTTCAGAATCAAATGAAGTCAGGGATGTGGTTTTGGGCCAGAAAGCTTCTTGCTTAGAATAAGGCATTGCCCGATTCCAGGAGAATCTGCATCGTACATGGAGACAGCAGATACTTGGAATTCTTTTTAGCAGTAATAAATGCCATTCCTTTGAGTAAACTTCCAGTGCTCACCATTCTTTAAGTACTTAGATATAAAAATAACTTCTGATGCAAATAATTCCAGAGATTCCAGTACAGCTTCATGTGTAAAAGAAAATTGTACATTGAATTTAAAAGGTCATTTCATAAAGGAATGATTGTCTGCATCACCATGTCATATGGAAATGTGAAAAGGAATTACCAATTCTGGTTTTAAGATGTTTTGCAGGCGTTTTCTATGGCAAGTTCCTGTATGTTAATAGTGTTTTTATAAATCGTAATTTCTTATTTATGGCAGTTGTAATTTTCAGTGTTAATTAGCTGCTAGCTGCTTATATCAAAGGTCTTTAGTCAGAATATTACTTAGTTCTTGACAAGTAAACTAAATTGTAAGCTGGAGTTGGAGCTAGGGGTAAAAAAAGCCAACCTTTCTCTGTGGCAAATTTCCAAGCTGGTTATTTCATAGAACATTTCTTCAGACATGTCATCTGTTTGTGCAAGAGGCGAACACCGCAAAAGCACTTGGCTTTGTCATCTGAACAGCCAAAGTTGTTACAAAGTTTACAGAATTTGGTAACTTGGCAAGGTTATTCAACTATTGGTGAAAAAATGCATGAAGTTTCTAGTTAATTTTTTAAAATTATCATTCACAAATATTTTGAATACATTCAGCTAACAGAAAAATGAAAGTGACATTTTAATATAACTGGCTTATGCATATTATGTTTCCTAATTTGGAATTACTTAGTCTTTTCTATTTGTTCCCCGTGAAATACTCACTACTTTCCTGAAAGTGCCTGTATACCCGTGATCCCCAAAGCAGAATATATTGTACCTCACCCCCTTTATTGCCTCTAACCCTGTTTTAAAGAAGGTAAAACTCCCCAGCTTCCATGGGTAGCCTAACTAGTCCTTACTGTGAGAAGGCTTTTTCTGGTGCCTGGCCTAAACCTCTCTCACTGCAGCTTTAAGCTGGTTCCTCCTTACTCATTCCCCATCACACAGCATTTTTTTGCCTTTCCATATGGGTGTTTAACACCTGCTTACTGTGCTGCTTTTATATTTGGCCAAGACATTTGCCAACAGGACAGCATTTTGTATACTCAGTTATCAGCATTAAATACTTTATATTTCTTCTGTGTTCTGCTAATTTGGTCTTCCTCTGTAATCTACTGAAGATGCAGATATTTTCCTAAAGGTGGGACCCATTTCAGAAGATACAGCATCTTGCAGTGTATAGATAGTACATATATTATGTGAAAAATTTTCTCCATTTATCCCAGATGTTAAGCAGTCTTTTCCTGCAAAGTGTTGCTGAGACTTTGTATCAACAGAATGAGTTATAGGAATGCATTGTTTCATTGTTCTGAGAATTAATAACGAAGGATTGAACATGTGTAATAAGTGCTGTTTCTTATCTGGTATGTGTCTGTGTTTAGATTCATTTTCAGGCATCAGTATGTAACATTACAGTGTTTCCAGGCCTGGTGGTTTTTTTGTTTAACTTAGCACCTCTTGTTTTCTTTGCAGTGATAGTCCGAGCTGCTGACTGCAAGAAGGTGTACCAGATAGAGCTTGCTCCCAAAGAGAAAATTATCATCCTCATCTGTGGTCGGAACCATCACGTTCACCTTTACCCCTGGGCCTCTCTGGATGGGTCAGAAGGAAACTTTGACATTAAGCTTGCAGAAACTAAAGGCTGCCAATTGATTACAACTGGAACACTGAAAAAGAATTCTTCGACGTGTTTGTTTGTGGCTGTCAAACGACAGATTTTTTGCTATGAAATTCACAGAACTAAACCTTTCCACAAAAAATTTGGTGAAATTCAGGCTCCAGGAACTGTACAGTGGATGGCAGTGTTCAAGGACAAGCTCTGTGTTGGCTACCAGTCTGGGTTCTCTCTGTTGACCATCCAGGGAGATGGACAATCTATAAACCTGGTAAATCCTAATGACCCCTCGCTTATCTTCCTCTCACAGCAGTCTTTTGATGCCCTTTGTGCTGTGGAGCTCAGTAATGAGGAATACCTGCTTTGCTTCAGCCATATGGGAGTATACGTCGATTCGCAAGGTCGAAGGTCACGCATGCAGGAACTAATGTGGCCTGCAACTCCTGTTGCCTGTAGTATGTATATGTTTTTCTGTTGCCATATCCCTGTTGCTGCTTTACTTGTCTAAAAATAATCAGCATTGTATTCTATTTTGCTTGGGTTTGTGTTTCAACATCAATAGTTTTAAGTTTTGATGAGTTAACAGGATATGTAATTCTTCCTGATGGTAGTTTTGGAATTGGCCATCTCTTGGGCTGAGATCCTGAATTCTACAAGAAGAGAAGCTCTGGTTCTTGTTGCAGGACACAGAAGAATGAATAATGGCATAACTACAGAGAATAATCCTGAATGCAGGACAGTGCAACACTACTGGTCTGTGAAATTCTGTAAAGGTTGTTGCTCCCCTGAAAGAGAGTGTAACAGTCTAATTGTCTGTAGGATGTCTTCTGTGTCCTGCACTCAAAGTACAATAGACAATCGAAGAAGAAATGTAACTGAAACTTAAAGGTTCATAAAGATAACAAAATAAGAGGTAAAAATATGACTTCTGGCAGAACTCATAGCATTTTTTATCCTTTTGGTTCTATTTTTAAGGGAAGAATTTCCAAAAATAATATAGGCACGTGGAGGGTAATTTTTCAACCTCTCTGCTTGTTTCAGGAGCATTGCTTTATCAGCTAGTTAGGATAGAAGCACATGCAGAGCATTTTTAAGTATTCAGTAGCTAAAGGCAGTTAATGATAAAACTGGGATTTCTATTTGGATCTCAAACAGCAATTACAATGTTTTGAATTATGGAAGGCAAGAAATAGCTTTTTGTTTAAGTAGTACAATAAGGAGTTAGGTGCACATTGATCAGGCCAGGCCCTAATGGAAGTTTGTTTCATTTTAATTGTCTTGAACTGAAATTGTTTGCTTGCTTTACTCTGACCTAGTTCTTTACAAAAGTCTGAAGTGAAGGCCTAAGGAAACAATGTAGTTGCAAATTTACTTTAAAACACCATTAGCCAAAGCTAGTGTTTCCTTTTCCTTTATCAGCTTTAGTTTTTTGCATTTCAGCAAACTAGGCTTGCTAGTTAATGGTTTTGTCTGTTATTATTAGAAGCTGTTCTTGCTGTAAACTATTTCATAGCATTCTTGTGTGTGCGATCCTGAGTGGCATTGGCCTAGGGCTGGTTCTGTAGAAAGAGCAGTTTTTTCTGCTGCCAAAGGAAACTGGATTGCTTTCCTTTTCATTAGCCTTGTCCTCCCTCTTCATTCCTAGTGTCAGTCACTAGTAATGGTGTCTTTTTTTAACTGTCCCATCAGGAGATCATCAGAGTGCAAATGGTTCTGCCCCTGTTGCAGTTTCTGCTGTGCTAGAGAACTGTGTTGTAGGAGAGGTTTTAGGGTACAATGGAGAATTTGTTTCTAGGGCATTCAGTCCCTTCATGCTAGGAGAGGCTGAGGTCTGTGCTAACACAGTCAGCTCTGTTCACTTGGTGGCCTGTCTAGGTTGCAGTTAAATCAGCTTAATACGCTGATTCTGTGCAGTCAGTGTAGGTGTTGTGGGGCTGCTTGGTTTGGGTACAGCACAGTGCAAAGGTGCGGAGCCAGCAGGTCTCAATGCTGTAGTGTGGGCAAGCCCAATGCAGACACATATGTGTCTCTCTGGGAACCAGCTGAGGTCTAATCAAGCTCATCAGCTCTGACTGGTAAGTGCAGCCTCGGCTACAAGCTGGCCAGGCAGAAGCAGTTGGTGTTTCTGTCTGATGCTCAGTAGTGTCCTTTGATTTGGACTTCCAAGCCAGCCATGACCCTGTGTGATAAATACTTGACTAGAAATCACTTCCGGGATATGTATTTATGATAGCTGTCTGAGGCTTTCTGTGAATGCATTTAAAAAATAGCACCACAACCTTACTTCAGTTCTTAGATGTTTCTGTGATGTGTTTGATTTCCTACTGGGTTATTTATTGCTTATTGAAGCAGCTCTTTCCTCTATTAAATCCCATAAATTTGTAGTAACTGCTCTTCACATAAGGACACAGTCTTTACATGAGCAGGCATACTGATACAGAGCTCTAAGGATCTCTGATTTTCATTTGACCCAAAAGAAACTTGTCTGCTGATGCCTTTTATGCTTTTTTTTTTTTTTTTTTTAAAAAGTTGAAAAGAGAAAATGGGCTGTGGGCTTTAAGCATTGTGACATTTTTCTGTTAACTTGATGAAAGCAACCCATACATGAATATCTAAAGCTAGATAATTGTTAGCAAAAGAGGAAGGAAACTGAGAACAGATCCGCATCATGACTTCATGACCCACCTCACAGATGGTGGCCCTCTCTTTTCCCCTGCAGCAGATGTATAGTTAGTTTGCTGCTTCCGAAATGAAGTAATCTGCATCTGTAGAAAAGCTAGCTGCTTGCTTCCTACCAAGTAGCAAATTTGTATATGTCTGAAATTTTCAGATGCCATTTTGCAATTTCATGAAATCATAATTTGAAGTTTAAAAATACTGAAAGGATCAAATTCAAATTTTCCATAACGCTGCAGTTGTCGTTGGTGAATCTGTGATCACAAAAATACCTGTTTGAAAGCAGGGCTGGGGGAAAGTGTTTTAAAAAGTATCTTTCACAAAATGGAAAACTTGTAACTATTGAAATTTGCCCAAATGTATGTCAATTCTGGATTACTGAAACCACATCAGGGTTTTATGTTTATTTTTAATCTATGCAGGTTGCAATTCTTCCTATGTAACAGTGTACAGCGAGTACGGTGTTGATGTATTTGATGTTAATACTATGGAATGGGTCCAGACTATTGGCCTGCGAAGGGTGAGTAGTTTTCTGTGCATATAGCATTTAATTGGGCTAATTCCAAACTGAGATATTTCTTCACAGTGTATGCTAGGCTTGAGTTAATTCTCTGCCTCCTTCCTCAAAACAGATCAGACCATTAAACATGGATGGCACGCTGAATCTCCTTAACTGCGAGCCACCAAGACTAATATATTTCAAGAACGCGTTTGCACGTGAGTACTGAGCAAGGGGAGAAATGGGAAAATGATATGGAGCTAATAGGGTAATTTTGAGCAATGTTACCTCTGCATGAGATGAAACTTATATTGGATATATCTGGGTCAACATATACCTGTGTATGTAAAATTGCATTGTGATACTGCAGCTGGAGCTGTCCTCAGTGTACCAGAAACATCTGACAACAGCAAGAAGCAGATGCTTCGAACTAGGAGCAAAAGAAGATTTGTATTTAAGGTTCCTGAGGAAGAGCGATTACAGCAAAGGCGGTAAGAATTTAATCATGGTATGTAACTTAAGATATGATGACGTGCAGAGACTGGGAATGCTGATAGTAAAAATCACTCTGTTCTTCTAGGGAAATGCTTAGAGACCCTGAGCTAAGGTCAAAGATGATTTCTAACCCAACGAATTTCAACCATGTGGCTCATATGGGACCAGGAGATGGAATGCAGGTTCTCATGGACCTCCCGCTGGTAAAATACATTTTAAAGAGAGGGAGATATATGCGCACTTGTTCTTGCTCAGAAAAACTGTGAAGATGAGCTGTATGGGGTTCAAGTACTATCTCCGTACAAAATTCTTTTAGTCATTTTGAGAAAGGTGAACCTTCCTAATGTGCAATGCTTCTAAACCCTGTGCAAGGAAATACTGTTAGCTGACTTACGAATGAGACACTGAAAGAAATAGATGTCACTGCCAGGACCTTGTTAGTAATTTTGTAAATAATCAGCCTCTCCTCCTTCCTTTTTCTTGTTTGTCTTCTTAAAATAACAGAACGAATTTCCTTCCCCCTCATCCTCACGACATTCTGCTCTGATACCACCTCCAACAGGCTTTGAGCACGTCTATCACATGAGCTCTGTCTCTGCTGAAACCTCTCTCGAGAGTGACCATTCCTCACTGCAAGGCTCCCCTCTGCTTTCTTCCTCTTCCTGTCCCTCCTCTGCTTCCCTATCCAAGGGTAGGAGTAGCTACAAACTGTTAGGAACTGGAGTGGTGTTCTTGTGGCACTTTGCCAATTCTAGAGCAAAAACAAGGAGGGGGGAAACTAATGCTGTGAAGGTAACTAAAATGCATGTAAGTTGCAGTGCTTTGTAGCATTATTTTTATTTTGCATTTAACAAATACAGCATTTTGTAAGCTATTTTAGTGTTAAATCCAAGAGAGGAAGGCACAAAGGGATACTTTTATGTTCCGTACCTTCCATTTTATAGCTGCTGGTTGGGCTTTCTGTTGTCTTTCTCAGCTAGCCCAGATGAGGGTAATGCATTTGTCCTTTCAGCAGGCGAAGGAAGGAAAGCAGAGCTATTGGTACAGTCCCTGTCCCTTCATAGAGGGTTTGCTGGCTGACAGGTTCCAGTGGCTGCTATGGGGCTTAGTTCTTTCTCTGTCTTTCTCAGGGTTTGTGTCTGTTACTGAAAATATGTGGATGTGGTCAAGTAAGTTCAGTTTTTCTACCAAAACTGGTTGTAATAGCTTCAAAAGCACAGTACAGTTTTCATGAGTAACAACTCCTAATTGGATAGCTTTTTCTGCTAGCTAACAAGGTGTTTCATTTCAACTGTAGAGTGTCCTACCTGCTGCGCAGGATGAAAAACCATGTCCATCTACAGCTAACCTCTCACGGCAGCAGCAGCAGAGAAACAAAACCTATATTTCATGGCCCTCATCAAGTAAGGCTGGAAGCAAGCTTGTCAGTTCTGAGCTGTAATTTACAGGTTCAACAAGAGGTGTAAACCTGCCTTTTTTCCTTCTTTCTCTACAGGTGGCAGTGATGTGGGAGGAGCCGTGCCTTCCCGAAGCATGTCTGATCCTGACCAGGAGTTTGACAAAGAGGTAAAGTAGCTTTTATTAAATGGAGACTGATGATACCCTGTTGCCTTAGATTTTCTTCTTCCAATAAATTAAATTTCTGAGGAAATACTTCATAAAAACTGTGTTCTTTATGGCGATATTTTCCTTCCACAAATATTTTCTCCAGCCTGTAATATATGATTGCAAGTTGGAGATGCCAACCCAAAAGTAAAGCTGTGAAAAGATCTTTTTATAGTGATATTTTAAGAAGTATTATGTCTTGGATTAAGCTTTGTAGACAAGGGAAATGTGACTAATTGATGAAGTGTCCTCAAAGCTCCTCAAATGTTCTCTGGGCTATTAGCATGGAATAGCAAAGTAATACAACTAGTTAAGTAATTTTCTGTGCTGCCTTAAGGAAGACTTTTTGTCATGTAACTTGAGAAGGAACCATATTTCAAAATAAGTAAAACTGCTTTTAGCAAAAGTAAAAGTATGTGCTAGCAGTTACTAAACTGAAAATATCCTGGCTGTACAAAACTGGTGTTGCTGAATTGAGAGAGTAGATGTAATTTTTATTTCCTTGATTTATCATGGGTGTAGGTTCTTCCAAGCTTTGCTTAAGCACTGCCTGTGCAAGGAAAGTGTTAGGTATTATTCCTGGAAGGCAAGCTCCTAGATCAGGGTCTTTACATCTTTAGTGCTTTCTGGTACCCAACTGCAGGCCCGTGTAATGTTCTGGTGTTTGAAGGGTGTTTTCCTGAAGCAGATGTTTGCAGGATGCCTTAGTATAGCCCAAGTCAAAGCACTTGTCCAGAGTTCTGTTCACAGCCATGCTCCAACTTCCTTTGTTGCCTTGAGTAAGCTATTAAAAGTGTGTGAAAACAGGAATCTCTAAACACAAGTATTCTCAAAACTGTCTTGATCTTCCAGATGATGGACTATGTCAGTTGACTTAGGTTTTCTGCAGCATCCTTCCCAAATCCTGTGAGTTCCATGCTCTAATGATAGCTGCTGTTTGCAGGCACAAGTAGTGGCGGATTCTAAGGTTTTCACAATGTTTTCTTTTTCAGTAGATGCTACAATTTCTTATGGCTTCTTAACAGTAGTTTGAAACTTGAAAAGGGAGGGTCTAATAACACCTTTTGGCTTTATTTTGGCTTTTGGCTTTATTGCAGCATGAATTGGATCATGTTAGGATAATCTTGTTATAGATGATATTATTATTGTTTGAGCCGTGCAAAACCTTGTGAACAGCATTCTTGAAGGATATTACCTTTCAATCTATTTGCTAAATATACATTCCCTTTCTTGAAAATAACTTGCTGCAATAGCACCAGTTTTTCCTGTGCAGTATTTCACTAGCTGTGAATGTGTGCACTGCTCAGAGTTCTAACTCACCCAAATAGTGGGAAACTTGCCAGCCATCCTGTTGAAGTGAGGCCAGTCTGTGAAGGCAGATATTCAGCAACCAACCTAATGCTGGGAAAATAACTGTGGATAGACTGTCTTTATTAGATATTGATGCAGGACGCCTCCAGTAAGTATATTCTGTTTCCAGATCACCAGGCTGATACTTGGCAAGCTTCACTCTTTTGTCAGGCACTTCACATGCTTTTGCTGTTTTGTAAAGAGTTCATATGCTTGTTTCCTTCCTTTTCACCAAACTGAAGATTATTTGACTGTAATTGTTTACACATTTATATGAGCAGATAAATCTCCTAGGCTATAAAAACTGGTTAAAAAGCACAGGCTGGTAAATCCAGAACAACAGTGAACAAAGAGTTGCTTTCAGATAGGAAAGCTGTGCAGTGGCTAGGGGAGCCTGAGATGCAGCAATATCCATGTACTTTGCCATAATTCCTGTTACGTCAGGAGGTCACCTTCAGGGCTGCGCTAGGGCCCGCTGGTGATAACGGAAGTATTTGCATGAATGTTTAGCTATGAAATAAATTGGATACACACTGCTTCGTAGGTGTTGCTCACCTTAATTTTTGAGTGCCTTTGAAAGCTTTTGAGTGTGAAGAGTTGATTTTAAGTAAGCATAACTTTTTCTTTTTTCCCATGTTTCTCATTAACAGCCTGATTCAGACTCCACCAAACACTCTACTCCCTCAAACAGCTCAAATCCAAGTGGTCCCCCAAGTCCCAACTCTCCTCATAGGAATCAGCTTACGCTAGACGGACTGGACCAGTCAACCTGTGACGCATAACACTACTGCTCTCACCACTCTGGCTTCGATCATTCACTACTCCATGGAGTATTCAAGAGCAAGGCAAAGCTGTCTCAGATGCTAGTGCCAAGACTGACACTGAATCTCTAGTGTTGTACAAGAATAATTATATATCCAGATTGTAGATACAAACTATTGAAATGAAGAAAATTCTTTACTAAATAGCAGTCAAGCTTTTTATGCAGAATTGTTCACTGCTCAGTTACAGTTGATTCCTTTCTGCGCAGCTGTGACACAGTTTTATTGCATAGGAGCGTTTAAGGCCACCAGTAAATAGTCTTATTCTTATGCTGAAAAAGAAATAGAGAGAGATACTGATAATGTTGCTACAATATCAGGAATATTATTTTTCTATAGAATGATGTAATGTCTCGTTAGCAGGAAATCCTTTTAGACGCAATTTGGACCTCTAAATAGGAAATGCAGGCAGGTCTGGTTACATCCTCAGATGAATACTCTCTTCCCTTTTTCCCATAACTGTTTGTTTCCTAAATCTTAAGGAGAATGCTAGGAAGCTGTAGGTCGTTTCCAACATCAGTAGAATCACCAGGAAGTCAAATAAAAGTTGGTTATAGTTTTGTGGCCTTTTAATTCATTTAACCATTACGTATACAGCTGCATAACTGTCCTTCTGTCTTTGTACCAACTTCTTAGTCTTGTACATAGGACTACTCCCAGTTATCTTTTACCTGTACCCTGCTTTTTAGTCCTCATCAATCAGGCATTAGTCAGGGCTTTTAAAATATCGTTAATTACTGCTGGGAAAGAAAATTTTACTCCTAGATCCTGCCTATATCCTTCTGAGAAGTTGTTTCTCCTGGTTTTTTTGTTGTAAGGACACACTACATTGTTTAGCTAGCAAGCCTTCTCGTGGATGCATTGCCCTTGAAGTCTGCTTGATCTAAGGGACTGTATCGCACTAAAACATCAGTCTGGTTTTTTGGTTACCAAAGTGGAACGTGAAGGACGTGTAACTGGGGGTGCTGCTTTTCTCATTAATTGTATCCTCACCTGCATGAAGACCCCATGATTATTAATCAAGTATTGATCATGTAGAAAAATGCACAACACACTCCTGTATATTTTGCTATGGCCCACGTGCAGTGGTGATGTTTTGCGTGTATATTTAATCTCATGCTTCCATGTATTATACATTTAGTAATCAAAGATTTGTGACCATGTTTCATTAAAAGCTTGTAATTAATTCAGTGGCTGGCATATCCAGTTTGTCATTGTCACACTAGTGTGCCTTCTGTGCCAATTTTATGACAGTTGGATGTCACTTATTTAAAATTTGTTTTAAATGGGCTAATGATATACCAATGGCTAATGTTCTTTCCTGAAACACTGTATAGGACGTGCACTTATCTTTAGTTTAAACTGAGTGTTCTAGTCAACAATTAATCCTGTTATGTTAAGTGTTCGACAGTACTTGCTCTTTTTCTCAGATTCTTGATAAAGGGGCTCAGGTGGAGCTGGACACTACTGCTTTGGGGGTTTTCTGGTTTTTACTTTTTTAATGTAAGTCTAAGTCTTTGTAATTATTGAATTGTGAGAACATTTTTGAACAATTTACCTGTCAATAAAGCAGAAGAGGGAGGTTTTAAAGTTCATAGTTGTCTGTCTTGACATCTGAAAACAGTCTACCAATGACACTCACTTTAGCTTCATGGTAAATTCACTTTGCTCACATGAATGCTTTACATAAGCTGAAAGATACTTTGAAGCTCCGTACCAGAATGCGAAAAGAAGGGTGTGTGTTCTGCATGCTCAGAAGTGATGCAAGTCCTTTCAGTGGAATACAGTGTTGAAGTTTTGTGCCCCCAGTTTTGTTAGAGTTGTCATTTCATTGAGTTGTTGGCCCTATTAATTATATGAGAGTTTCTTTATGGCTGGAGCCTACTAAGGAGGCTGGAGGATCTATTCAGGCACCTTAGGAGTGATAAAACAATGAAGACTTCTTCCTTGTCAAAGCAGTAATTCCAAAAGAAACACTTGGGACCATTTTAAGGGTTGGAGTGTGAATGGTGCAGCCCTTAGTACAGGGGTTTGTTTAAAGCTCCCCTCATGCTCCAGTATTCGAGCATTGCAGAGCTCACTGTAGGGAGAACAGAGCCAACATCTCTAATGTGTCCTGGGGAAGCATCTCTCATCACTTACGGAGCACCTCAGTGTTCTGGGATGACTTCTCAGTTTGTCTCACCCATCTTTACCCAGGTTATCCTAGTGTGGGAGGCCTAGCTGGGTATTGTGGACCCTGCTTGCCTTGACCAAACCCACCCGGGCAAGGCCAGCAGGCTGGGGTGGGATGCCCTGGGGAAGTGCATCGGCACTCAGCCCTGGGGATGGGGTGGGAGCTGACGGGAGGTTTGAGGGCTGTGTGTCGGAAGTCTTCTCACAAGTGAATTCATGCTCATCAGCCTTCGACTTCTAAAAAACATTTCTGCTGCTCTTGAGCTGATTTTTCTCTGCACAGTGAGGACTTTGGATGACAACAAAGTCTTTAATTATGGGGGTATTAAATCACAGCACTCGGCAGTGCCAGGGCTTGGTTATAATTTAAGCAGGAGAACGTTTCTAGAAAAATTAATTGCACAGTAGGAATACATTATTCTTTTCTCTTTTTTACCCCAAGTCTGGCCAAGCAGAATTCCTCCCTAAGTCCTTCACCACAGCCCTTTGCAAATCTTCTATTCCCTTAAGGCTTCTAATTCTGGTTGCCTAAAAGAGTCCTCCTTAAGCCCTCAGGAGAACTTTCAGAAATACAGAAACTCGAGATTTGATGTGAATGTTCCTCTGGCAGTGCAGTTTCTTCTCCCTGGAGGCTACCAGTCTAGTATCACAAGTGAGGAATTGACTTACGCAAGGAACAAGGATAATTTGGTCTCTGCCTGTTCCTCTGCCCATTCCATTTTCACAGAGGCATTACATCAGGGCCTGAAGGTGGGGCGATGGGTGTACCACTCACCAGAACACATTGGTCACTTCTAGCACAGATCTTTGCCCCACAAGGCTATGTATTTTGGAATACATCCTGGTGTTGCTTGCTACCAAAGAATGAACTCAACTGCCACCACCTCTGCAGCACAGACATGCTGAGAACAGCTTCCTACATGGGTGCAATTTGCTGGGGGTGGGGGGCAGGTGTAACCACTCACTTCATGTTTGCAGGGTAAGTGCTTGACACAGCCAAGTCACAGGGAGGGCACTTCAGCATGGAAATGCTGATGGTCCAGGCACCCTTGTTTTCTGCACAGCACCAGATGAGGCATCTCAGGGAGAAAGCAGATGCATAAAAATCTGAAGAGCTGGCACTGTAGTGCTGAGAAGCAGTGAAGCATTTGAGGGAAGAGATGACTATAGGGATTGAACTGCACCTTTAGGTGCAATTAGGGAAAGCGACAGCCAAAGGAAGGTGGCACATCATGACCATGAACCTTGTCTTGCTGCTGAGTTTAGCCTATTTTGAAATGAAAAAAACAGAGATGGTATTCTTGCATGCTGGGCTAAGAGAGCATCTCATGTTCCAGTTTGTACACTGCCTGCTCTCTGTAGAGCAGCTACAGAAGGCAGAGGTGAGGAGGATGTACAAAGAAGTAGCATTCATCTGCCCAGCCCTTGCCTTCCATTGCAGTGGCAGCAGGGCCGGACCTGCCTTCTCCTGCCTGCTTGCACCCTGTAAATGTGGCTCCCCTCTCAATTCCCCTGCATCCGTCATTGGCAGCCTTGGCCTCCTCACAGCTTGTGGGGCAAGATCTGCACTGCTGCCACCCTTGCCCAGTGCAGAGCAGCCCTTTTGCTGTAGGCTGAGAGCTGCTGCTCCATAGCCCGGCAGGTCAGGGCAGTGCAGCAGCACGGGGTCAGAGGGGAAGGGCGTACCACGGGCACTGCATCAGAGAGGCAGGAGAGAAGGCCCGGAGGTTGGAAAGAGCCAGCACAATGCTCCATTCCAAAGCCTTCCTAAGCGTGTTTCTTGGGTCATGGGGTGCTGGCGAGACCGGACATCAGCTGCACGCCTGTTGCGGGATGTCAGGGAAAGCCAGACATGTGCAGAGCATGTCCCAGCGGGGAATGATGGTCAGACTGTCGTTGCTGGCCGGGTTAGCTGAGGACAGCAGCAGAAGACAGCAGGACGTGCTCAGCGGGCGAAAGCTGCAGTGCTGTGCTCCAGCCAGAGGAGGAACCTGAACTTAGGAATCAGCCAGCTCCCCGTCCTTGCAGCATCTGTTTTCCCTGCTCCCCAATAAGCTGCCGCACTTTTTTGTCACCTGACTACGCAGGTTTATGCAGCTTTATCGGTTGCTTTCTCATAGATAAAGCTCTCGGAATTTTTGCAGCATCGCCTGCTTTCCAGTTTTTTATGCAGTCTCTGCTCTGCGATCCCATGAGGGAGAGCAGTGTGGAGCTGTGCGTGCTAGTGGAGGAGATGGCCACAGCTCTGCTGCCACCCTGCAGCACCCTGGCTGGCTCCTGCAATCCAGTGGTGCCAGCCCTCACCAAATCCCCTCTTCCCA